TGTAACTCGCCGAAGGTGAGGGCATGAGGCCTTGTAGAGAGATCTTGGGATGCTATGCGGGGGCATCCTAAGGGACAGCTGGGGGTTGCTGACACAGGACGAGACTGGTCGGAGCTGTAGTGAGTCGCGTTGTTCTGTAACCTAGCGGATAGGGGGCGTGAGGGCTGGATGAGTTTGTCAGAGAATAAGTCAGTTTTGGTGCGCTTTGTTATGATCTGCTGGAATTCCCTTAGATACTTGAGTGTTCGGAGAATTGCGGGTGGATTTCAGGAGGTGTTTAGCGATCGAAAAAAAGGATTCGTAGTTTTTCTCATCATCTATACTCGTTGTTTTCTCATCATCTATCCCGATTTTCAGCAGTTTGTTTATGATCTTGGAAGATACTCTCAAGCCGAAACCGGGTAATGGCCCCGGTACTTCAATTTGTTCATAATTTTTTTCTACATGTCTTCATATGGGACGCTGGGCTCGATTCCCAGCACGTGCTGCTCCCCACGAATAGATTGGAGCATGTCTTCCAAAAAAAAAAAAAAAAAAAAAAAAAGGAACTCAGATCACACATACTGCAACACGGTGACTCCAATGCAATAGGCACGATGGTCCCACGAGACCTGCCATTCCTGCAAGGTGTTACCCCTATCCTCCTCCTCTTTCCCCAGGCAACGCGGTCCCCAAGGGGGCACTCACCTACAATGGATGACGCGAAATCAGCTGCTGAACATGGCAACGACCAGGTTGAGATCGAACAATACTTGGTCAAAGGAGGCAGCCTTGGAGGAACACCAACAGTGGGATGACCCACCGTTTATCAGACATTTCCAATAGAGACTTCCGCCAGACAGACGGAGTGGCTACGATGGAGCGCTGCCAACGGGCAGACGCAAGTCGCGCGGTTGAGCGCTGCCAGCAGGCAGTGCGATGCCAGGTGGAGCCCTGCCAGCCAGGTGGAGCGCTGTCAGCGGGCGGAGCGATGCCAGGTGGAGCACTGCCAGCATGCGGTGTGCTGCCAGGTGGAGTGCTGAGGCGTGCAAAACGACCACCCGCCGCAACCCGGAAGGCCAAACACGACCATTTCGTCAAAATGGACATTTTTTATTTTTTTGAACAAAATTAAAACCGAGTTTTTTGGCCAAAAACTCATCAAAATTTGCTGTTCCTGAGGGTACAGCGTTTTACAAATGCTGGACCCCCTGGCTGTACATGGACCTAGCTTGAGACCAGACACCTCCAGGCAGGACTGCCTGGAGGTACCTGGTCTCAAGCGAGGTCCATGTACAGCCAGGGGGTCTAAAACGCTGGACCCTCAGGAACAGCAAATTTCGACGAGTTTTCGGCCAAAAAAATTCGGTTTCAATTTCGTTCAAAAAATAAAAGATGTCCATTTGGCAGTTAAACGATCTTCTCCCAGTAAATCCTCAGAAGCGCCCGAGTCACGTCCTCCACCGCAATCAAGCCTGATGCGCGTCCTATGCTGAATGACGATGTGTTGTTCTCGTACGTCTCCCCGCTTGCCCAACGATAAAGCGCGTACACGATGATGTGATCCGGCATCAAAGGCACCCTGTAGAATGTCACCCTCCGCTGCAGATGAGGGGACAACGCCTCCCGGATCTCCCAGAACACCCTAGGGGACATCCTCAACTTCTCCTTACAGCACCCGTACGCAGCGTCGTCCATCTTCCGGAGATCCTCCCATGTCCCTCCTGTCCTTCTCCTCATCCACCACCTCAGAGTCGCCCGCGGGATCACACCGGACGCCATGGCACAGCAAGATTGCACAATGGATTCTGATAACGACACACAGTCGGGCGCCTCCATCACTTGTTGCATGAGCTGACGCTGCCTGCGAATGGACAGCCTCATCTTCAAGCGAGCTGTCGTTCTCTGTACTCGATATCACATGGCGACTGCCGACACATCTGCAACCACCACATTTCTCTCCACAGTCGTCAATGCATTCGCACCGCACTGCAGCTCTCCCTCCATCTTGACGACGTGCAATGCGCAACTGCCCACCACTGTTTCGGTCGGCGGCACCCTCGCTCCGATGTCTCCACATGGACGGGGACGGCGGCAGCACTACCCACGTCTCACATAGGCCTGACGTGTGAGCTCAGCTATGGCGGCCCGGACGATTGTCGCAGACCCCCCCAACAGGAATGTGGAACCCCTGACCGTTGTCGCACTCCGAGACCGTCACCGTCCGCGCTGCCTCAGCCCGCGTTCCAATGCCTGCGTATTAAGCGATGGCCACCAGCACTCCTCCGCGCAGATGTTTTGCTCCGGTGTGCGCTACACCCGTCTGGACACCCCCGGCATCGATGGGTCTCAGCGAAGGGTTCGAAATTCGAAATTCGAACAGGGATGTTTGCGCCTTTTTTTTCTGCAGCCATGAAGGTCTCCCTGCCGCCGCCACCAGACCACGGTGGGGACGCATGGACATCCCACCGCATCGATGGACATCCCACCGCAACGATGGACATCCACCCCCATGGCGGCGTATATGGGTATGAAATTGGCCGCGGGAGACCTCCAAGGGTTATCCTTGGGACCCATTGAATTAGGACGCGGTGTACGCCGAAAACCGAAAATTTTCGAAGGGCTTCATCCTAATTCCTGATGATTTTCCAAGGAGGGTATAACGAGGCCCTAAACCTAACAACCGAGAAGTACCCTGCTGGTTTTTTTTTTTTTTTTTTTTTTTT